TTTATGTATGGATTCATAGTTAATCTTTTGTCTATGGTAAGGCCTAAATATTTTACTGTATCGGATGCGAGTATAGGTATGTTATCCAATGAAACTGGAGGACAGAGTCCATGTTTCAAGGTGAAGGTGGTATGAAGTAACTTAGTGTGATTCAGTTTTATTCTCCATTTGGTGCACCATGTTGAAATAAGATTAAGATGCATTTGTAGATTACCAGAGGCTATTAAGGGATTTTCATGAATTTAAATCAAAGCTTTGTCATCAGCATAATCAGCAACAAGGGTGTTTTCAGTGACGGGTTGATTAGAGGCATAGATGTTAAACAATAAAGGAGATAGAATACTACCTTGGGGTACACCTGCATTGATTATAGCCATTTGTGAGGTACAGGTTCCAATGTGGATTTGAAAATAGCGATCAGTTAGGTAGGATTTAGTTATGAGAAACAAGGAAGGGGGAAGGAAATTGCGAAGTTTAAAAAGTAGGCCATTGTGCCATACTCGATCAAATGCCTGTGAAATATCTAAAAAAAAACACAGGATAAATATTGTTGACGTTCCAGCGAAGTTGATATACAATCAGCGGTGTACTCGATGAATTGTGCTGTGTTTAGCGCGAAATCCGAATTGAGATGAAGGAATATTATTTGAGATAACATGTGGAGATAGTCATTAAAGAATAAGTCTTTCAACAATTTTTGAGAAAAATGGTAAGAGACTTATAGGTCTATATTAGACTGGAGAGTCTGGGGGTTTGCTTGGCTTTACGAACATAAAATGTGTGATAATTTCCACATTAAAGAGAAATATGATGAATGAAATATTGCATTAAATATATAAGTCAAAAGGATTATTGCTCTTTTAGGTAGACATTTTGCAACCTTAACTGTTATTAGGTCAAAACCGGGAGATTTTTTATTCGAATGTTTTTGAATTATATTTTTGTCCTTGTTTGGTGTGGTGTATTTCACGGGAGGTCCATTAGATAATAGAGAGTCTAAATATATTCTAACACTATCCATGTGTTGAGACTCTAGAATATCAGCATGAGGTTGAAAAATATTTGATAAATATGTTTGAAATACTTCTGTTTTTTCTACGTCACTGATAGCTTATGTATTGTCCGATACAAATACAAACGAATGATTGCCTAATAAATGTTGTTGAAGATTTGTTTCATAAGTTATATAATTTCTATTTTTTTTTTACCCAGCAAATATGCATGCGATCATATCATACTATACTTTATGTTAGTTCAACATATTATTTTGAGACTATTCAAACATAGTTTAATATTTTTAAAAGGCTCTAGACAAACCAGAATTGATACCGCAATACGCTCACAAAGGAGAAGTAATCACAATTGCTGTATTAATGTATACATACTAAAGTGAGTAAATCCTATATGTGATATAGAAGCTTCTTCTCAAACATAAACTTGCTCGATTTTGAACTGGCCAAGAATATCATGTCCAATTGGTAAACAATTGTAATGGCTTACGAATTCTCTGCAGCCCTTACAACACACTTTGGCACCATTTTTCATTAGCCATTCAGCGCATGCTAAATTAGGACCAATTTCTTTAACACGTTCTTCGTCAAATCTTCGTTTGAAAAAAATAACACATAAATCACATCAACTATGAAATAAATAATTTTCTTTGAATCGTTTGATTTTGGATGAAAACACTTACTGGTTAAATGAGTCTTCGACCCATTTCCATAAGTTACGTTTGTTTCCAATCGTATTTTTCACCAATTTCAATAGAGAACTTTTCGAAAACATCTTGAACGTAAATGTAATTTATGTGATAAATGTATACAATTGTAATGTAATAAATGTATTATTTATAGAATAATATTCACACACAAGTCAACGAATCGGTAACTATTAGAAATCATAACAATATTTTTGTAGCCAACGACGGGATTTTTCAAATAACTAGTATTCGAAAACGCTCCTTTGTTTACCAAATCTTAATAAAAGTATATATATTCTTGAAAATGTCTTTGTTCTTAATCTGGAATGTTTGATTTTAAAAATCAAATACTTTAAATGCTTTCCCAGCAAATCATCAATTACATTACATTATTAGGGGTACATGCGATTTGGCAGATTTTCGAAGAATCCGAATTTCATTCACATTACTATCGCATTCACTGTACATCAGATGCCATATTAGATTTTATAGGTTAGGAGTCTACCTTTGGGTATTGGGTTCTGGCATGGATACAGAATGTATAATAAGAATTTTAACTACAAAGATAAATATTTAAATATATACGGTAATAAGTAGCCTTTTGATGTACAATGTCCTAGTATTTTTCAAACACTTCGGCGCCACTGCTATATTATGATAAAAAATTCAATAAAATTGTTTATTTAATTTAGGAAATTGGATCTTTCAATTTCATTCTAAAGAACGCAGTCACTTTTTATGTGATCTATATACTAATTAAAAAAAGTAGATTAACTTTTTGTAAACTGAGTTAATGTAATATATTTTTTCTTATTAACTTATAACTTATCGAGTTAAATTTATGAATTATTAACTGTTAACTTTTAACTTATAGATTTTGTGTTTTCTTAGCTTAACTTAACTCAATTTTTATTAACTAATATTAAATTATTTTTATTTTCATTAACTTGCCGACCTTCGATTATGTACTATATTGTAAGCAACACACAAGTTACGACAACAACGTTTGGATACAAAGTGATCTTTATTATAAATTTTTAATGTTATGTAAGAAAATAATAACACATACATTACAATTCTCTCACACTTAATACTGAAAACAATGAAGATAACTAATTATTAAATATACACTAATATTTTAACAATGCAATATAATTATTAAACATGATACATTTTTTTTTCTTTTAATATTTATTTATTACAATATTTCATAAAGATAAACATGAATACAAAAAAATAAAACAACTGAAGTTAATATAATAAAACTGATGTAGTGACTTAAAATTACAAATCTAAACGTTTAGGTGGTTTGATTATTCTCTCACTCTTCCTAATGAAAGTGCCTGTTGACACAAAACTAAAAGTAACATTGTTACTAGACACTACCTCCTGATTTAGTTTAATTTGTTTATTATCGACTGTACTCTCATTCACGCCCATGTTCAACATTACATCCTCACAACTTTTACTTATCATTCTATTAATAATATGATTAACATGCCTCTTCCAAACTCTAACATTAATATTTTCAGTAATTAAATTTATAGAATAATTATCTAACTCTGAATTTTTGATATTATGTGGAAATTCCAACGAAAGTCTGGACAATGCATCTGCATTTCTATTATCTGTGCCCTTAATAAACTGTATTTCATAATTATACACTGATAAAAAAATAGCATAACGCTGTAAACGATTGGCTGCCAAAACTCTGGAATGCCTTTCTTTGGACCAAAAATCATAACCAATGGCTTATGTTCTGTTCTAAGAATAAATTCACGACCATACAGGAATTGATGAAAATATTTTATTGCCTAAACAATCGCAGTCGCTTCCTTGCCAATCTGAGCATATCCGCGTTCAGAACTACTCAGTGTTCTAGATATAAATAAGATCGGTTTCTCTGACCCGTTTGGTAATTTATGGGACAATACCGCTCCAATCCCAGTTGGACTCGCATCACATTATAATATAATAGGCCATTTCGGATTGTAGTGAATTCATACTTCTTTAAATAATAATGCTTTTTTAATACCGTTGAAAGCTTTATTTTGATCACTCCTCCACTCAAATGCATAATTATTTTTTAATAATTTGTATAATGGATTCGCTATTGTCGACATGTTCTTAACAAACTTACCATAGTAAGTAATTAGGCCTAAGAATGCCTTTAATTGAGAAACATTACAAGGAATAGGTGCAGCTGTTATAGCCTTAACTCTTGTTTCTGGAACACTTAGTCCATCCTTATCAATCTTATACCCTAAGAAAGTTATACTATCTTTAAACAACTTATACTTCTCTTTTTTAACAGTAAATCCAACTAAACTTAATTTGCTCAAATCTTCTTTAAGTCTGCTACAAACTTCCTTTTCTGATTTACCAGATATAATAATGTCATCATAAAAAGCCACTGTGCCATCAATATTTCTTAATACATTTTCCATCTTACGTTGTAAAATACCAGTAGCAGATGCTATACCATACGGTATGCGTTTAAAAATAAATAGCCCCTTATGTGTAGATAAGGTAGTTAACTTTTGGAATTCCTCATCTAATAATTGCTGATAAGCTTTTCATAGATCTAAAATACAAAATTTTGATGCGCCCTGCAATACAGCCATTAAGTCCCTCACTCTCGGAATTGAATATCTATCTACTTTAAGAAATTTGTTCAGTCACCTTATAGTTCCCGCATAAACGAATAGTGCCATCCCCTTTAACTACTGGAACTACTGGAGTGGCCCAATCTGATGTCTCAACCAGATTTATCAATTTCTCATTAATAAGTCTGTCAATTTCATTACTCACTTTATCTTTTAAAGTAAAAGGTAAAACCCTTGGTTTACAAAATACTGGCTTAACATCATCATTTAAGTATAATTTAAAAGTTTTTGGTTTATAACATCCTAAAACTGTACTAAATACTGAAGAAAATTCTTCAAAAATACCATCCAACTTGTCGACCTTGATTATGTACTATATTGTAAGTAACACACAAGTTACGACAACAACGTCTGGGGGCCTATTCTCAAACGCATCGAAAGTGATGATCGAATAGAATAGTTCGATTGGCACTATTCGATCATAAAAGTTCATTCGACACAGAATATTCAATCTATCGTATTCTCAAACGACTATCGAATGTTGATCATCGAATAAAGTAATATTCAATACACTATTCGATTGACGAAAAAAATCATTGCTTTTTCCATGATATTATCTGTTGTAAACTATTAAGTTAGTAAGACACGCATATATAACGCTTCATCATTTAAAATGATATTGTATTCAACATAAAAATATAAGTCTTACGAGCAATAAAGTTTCGCACCACATAAATCCTCGGCAGACATGACTTCTCCTGCCGCAGCCTTTATTAACGGAAGACCAGCAAGAAAAATTGTTCCGATATTTCTCACAATTACATTCTCATCAGCCATAGTAGGCAAGTAAGCAGCGCCTGCCGTACAGCTCTCCATCACTACGGCTACCTGAAACATTGATATCATTTAAACTCTTTTAAGTAAAACTTTATAAATTGGATAATTTTAACATTCTTACTTGAGTAATATTTTTTGAAGACATAATAGCTTCATTGAAAAATATTCTCCCAAAATGTTCTCTGTCAGGAAAAATGTCTGCCTGTTTTTTCAAATAACCACCACCAGTGTCGACCAAATAAACGCAAGGTTACCGTATTACATTATTAAAATGTTAAAATTATTATTCAATTAGAATTTTTTTTTGTGTAAAAAGTTATTATTAAATTGATTTTAGATCAAATTTTAATTTATTTTTATTTTTATCACTAATAGTTTATTTATAATTATATAGTTTAAATTACGGAGAAATTTAAAAAGCACATTTTTCACTGGGAAAACTTGAGTTGGGTAATTATGATAAAAACAAGATAAAATCAACCGTGGACCAGGCACGTTTTCGGGGGGGGGGGTGACCCCCGTTGGCCATATCAAATTGTGATAATTTAATTTGATGTACTATTAAATTGCATTATCTTACGTAATAACATTATAATGTATTGTTATTATTACAAATTTTCGTCTTTTATTTTTATAACATAAATTAAAGAATTGTCGATAAAAACAATATTATTGTGATCGTATGATCGACGACAACCGTCAGCCGGCTAGCCCCAGCCGACTCATAGAGTATACTTATTTATAATCCGCCCCTCCCGTTATGGTAGGCTGGATCCGCGCCTACCGTGGACCCAATTCACGTAGTATCAAATGTGACCATGGACCCAATTTGAGTATTATTAAAGAACCGCGGACCCAAATCGTGCTTTTTTAAGCAATCAAATATCTCGGGACCCAACTAAAAAGTTTCCTTTACATCAATGTATATCTATATAATTTAAATCACTAAAATGTTATTATAAGTAGGGTGCAGATTTTTATATAATAAAAAAGTCAAAATATGTAAATATTTATGTTCTTATTTTTGCTAAAATATTTATTAAAAAACGTAAGATATTTAACAAAAAAAAAAATTGGTATAATATACCTATTTTTTTTTCCCAAATTTATTCTTCTGATAACGTATATTGCTTATCAAAGTTATCATTTTTTAAAAATTGTCTTGTCAGTTTAATTCTAAAATGTTTAACCTTTCAATTTTCGTATAATGTTCATAACTAAAATTTCAGTTGATACAATCCCGAACTGTAACCCATTATGTTACCTCCCAGTACTTTACTTCTGCGTCATGTGCATAAACCTATTGCAAATGTTGTCATAGAACGTGCGAAACAGTCTCCTGTATTTCGATCATTTGCATATATGCCACCTGCTTAATTTTACAATTGGTGCGAAGTTAAAATGAAAATGTATTTCACGAATCTTAGTACTGATGGCAAGGTCAAGCCCTTGAGTGAAACCATGGCCAGTGAACTTGGGTCGAATCTACTGTGGTGAATGTGCATAGTATGCATGAGGCTCATAAAATTGTTTTTGAAAATAATTTCAATTTTTTTTTTTCATTAAGTAGTGATAAATATATTTGAAAAAATGTTTGTTAAATTCTCAAGATAATTTTTTAAACCAAAACGATTTACGATTATTATTTTTCGAGTTACGAAGAAAAATAATATACGTACCTATATTTTATTTTGTCAAATATACCGTACATAAATGTTGCCTTTTTTTATAACTTATCGTCAGTATTTCTCAATTATTAAAAACTGTTGAGAAATTATGTAATCAACCTCTTCAACATACCAACTAGACAACATTTTCTATATAAAATCTTTAATAATTGTGATTATCATTTTGGTTGAAATTGTGTATACAAACACAAAATAAAACACATCATATTTAAGCCAATACATTCCACATTTCACTCAGAATTTAAAATACAACGATGTAGTAATGGAGAATAGCAGTTACATGATTTAATAATAATGTACTATGTATTATTATTATAACAGGTACATTACAATATTAATAATAACAGCTAACAGAAATCGTGTAAAATAAATAATGATTTTTCCAAATATAATTAAATATAATTTTTGATATAATTTCTTAACAGAATACAATATAACGTACTAAATTATAAATTAATCAGTTATTAATATAATATTTTATATTATAACTATTGTGATAAATAGGTGGACTGTACTTGGACTCTAAATTGTTTTCAGATGGTGGAGGTGTAGATGAAGGTGATGACAATATTTATGGCGAATTATTATACTTCTCTTCCACATCACTCATTATCTCTAACAACATCGCTGCAGCAGCCTGACCTTCTTCTGCCATAAGTATTTCATCAGCCGTTAAACTGATAGGTTCAACTTCAATTTGCCTCTCTTGTACTATTTCTTCTTCCGTCTAAACAATATCAGTTATAATTAATTTTGGTTCTAATTTTATGGCATCTAAATTGGTTTTAATTGATTCTTCTTGAATCAAATCAAGTATAGGTGTTGAAGGTGGTGGTGATGTTGGTGTAGTTGGAGATGGCTCATGAAATACCTCTTTTTTAATCAATGGAATACTAATTGGTTCTGATTCAACTGATTCTTGTTTCACTGTAATATTATCAAATCCATCCAACTGCACAGGAAATTTTACATCTAATTGTGAAGATGAAGATGAAGATGATTGTGCTGATTGTTTACTAACCTTTGTTCGTTTCACTCGAGACCGATCGCTAGTTGCTGACCTCTTTTTCTCATTTCCCAATGAAACAGCTGGTTTTATCTGTTCTTTTATTAGGTCAAGTCTTATTTGTTCTTTTTCCTTAAAAAAAAAAAAAAAATAAGTAAAAATATTATACCTATTATACCTGTCATAAATATTAAATTGTTTTAAAAAATATACTTGTTCAATTTTCTTCTGTTTTCTCTTATGAGATAACAACATTTCTCTATACATATCTTCAGTTGGATCAAAATGATTACTCATAGGCAAAGCAATTTTAGACAAATCTATTCCTTCAGAAAATGTTGCTAAAGTAGAAGTGATAGTTTCTACTTCCGGTGAAAGAGAATTTTGTAAAACAGCTAAATTACGCCGTTGTTTTTTAGACAGACGAGCAGGTGGTCCTTCTAAATAAAAGAAAAAATATAAAATTTAATAAAAAATACAACATTTTAAAACCAAACATCTAAAAACATACAAACCTTGATAATTGCTATCTGAACTATTATCAGAATCATCTCCTACTAGATGTTTAATATCAGAAAGCTCACGAAAACATATTCTTCTTATTTGCTGATGCATAGTATAACTATTACTACCCCCAGTATTTATCGTGGATGTAGTTGAAACCCCATTAAGAACATTAATAATCTTTGTACGTCCAGAGAGTAATTTTTTTAATGTATTAAAACGGTTAATACGTTGATTTTTTCTGGAACATCAATTAATAACACTAATTAAGTACATTAACAGAAATTAAAAAATATTTCTTTAAATAATCCATACCTATATTTTTGTTTGAGAGTACGTCTTAACAAAGATTTCATTTTAACAATATCAGGACGATAATATCCATTTTTTGATTTGTCATGAAAATCATCAATTGGATTAACTCTAAATCGAAAACTTTGACCACCAAAAAGCATTCTTAAAGTGATTTTTTTTTCCATTAAATCATTTTCAGGAAAAGTTGGAAGAAAATTCTACAAAAAAAAAAAAAAAAAAAAAATGTTATTATGTTTTACACTTAATTTCATTTTTTATAAGTTTTATTTGTATAAAGGTGAGTTTCTGTTACACAATTATACCTTTGAATGTTGCTTTTGTTGGTCACTTAAGCATACCCAAGAATTAACAGAAAAAAGTTGCTTGAAAACTTCTTCATCTTCGCACATTCCAACAGGTAAACTAAGCTCAGTTTTATTAGCCACTACAGTTTCAGTTTTGAGTGATATAGTTTCGTCTTCATCTGCAGTACTAGTACTTTCAGAATCAGAGCCTGACTGACTACTACTACTACTGGATGCAGATGAATTCGTGCTAGATGTTGATGTTTCAGAATCGTCGTCACTATCATCCTGTTCAATTTCAGAAGACGACAATTCTTCTTCATCTGTATTTGAAGTTGATTCTTGCGGCCAATTATCATAATTATTATACCCCGACATTATTGAGTCAAAATATAATTACTGAAATTAGTATAAAAAATATTAAACCAATTACTAGTTTCAAAGTTAATACTAACATAACATTTTCATAAACAATTTATATTTTTAAATTACCTAGGTAATATTCAATTTTTTTAAAAATGTTATAAATAAAATATTGGCTATAAAAAAAAAAAAGTAGTTCAGAAGACACTTTGAAATTTTTTGTTTAAGTATTAAAATCTGTTTTCAATAAATCACAAACAAAATTCAAGGTCATGGATCCATAAAATAATATTTCTATATAAATTACTTTACATAATTACTTTCCATCGAACATGTTAATTGATTAAAAAACTACCAATAGTAAATTATTTAGAAAAATAATGCGGATAAAAGATATAACTAAAATATTAAATAAATTGATTAATAAATAAATGATTGCTAGTTATTAATATTTACTTGGTATCTAATTTATATTATTAAGTAAAATATCATTACACTTTTATGTTCCTATCATTTTAACTACCCTCAATAAAATAGTAGTTTTTCTATTCATTATTATTTATCTTAATATTTTGGTATGACCCTTAGTTTAATATATTTTTATATGTATACATTTATAAAGTGTGTCACCAATTAGGTATTATCTGTATTATACTATCACATTACATTGTTTAAGGTTTTCACCCATTTATTGTTAAAAAAAATAAATAAACAAATAAAAAAATGTACCTTATTATGTGGGGGCTGTATCCCTCATAGAAATTTCTGTAAGCCCCTCATTTTATCAAAAATTAATAAATTCTAGTTTTAAATGTTTTTATAATTTTTTTAAAATTCATCAAGCTTTAAATATTAGCAGTCTTTTGTGTATTAACAATTATTGCACTAACATGATGTATGTATGATGATGTACATTGCGGATTTATTTTTGATTTTTCAAGTAAGAATTAATTATTTAACTATGTATACGCATTATATAATTATGGTAGAATTGAATAGTCCTCGAAGTAAAATGTACCGTTGACGGTAGTCAAATATCTACTATTGTTTAATATTAGGCAACATTCAGACGAGTAATGTCGTATCGACTGTCAAACGTGTCATGGGATAAATGCGAGTGTACAATGTTCATCAATATGGTTATACAATAGTACAAGTATTGTTCTTAAAAGTTTCTATCGTGATTACCACGTAAAGCTTACGAAGGATGCGATATAATTAATATAACATAATGTAATTCTTCGTAAAAATCATTATACTTATAAATCAAAAATATCGCTATCAAAATTATTTGTTTTTATATTTATTCGGATTATGCCGACGATGATTGGATATAATCCAGTGACATTGAAATGTACTGCGGGTACGCGTATCAGGTAAAAACAAGTCAGAAAATGAAGTTGAAACGTATTACGGATTACGATCGACCGCCCATCGGAGAATTCGATCGTAGTGCGCGTTGAGGACTATGTTTTTAAAGCGCGCGCACTCTGTACACGAGTTATTTCATAATAACGCATACATATCGGTGACGTTTACAGAGAGATTTAGGGGGTGGAGAACAGCAGCTGTTCCGTATACTTCGAGCAATACATAAAAAAGCCTTTATACGTGAATTAAAAAAAAAAAAAAAAAATGTAATGCATAGATTTATTGGATAAATGTTTTATTATAATAGAAAATCATGTACGGTATGAATATTTGTATTTGTATGCTGGCCACATCGATCGATCCCCGCTTCTGGGGGCTCTTTTCTTTTTTTTTTTTTATTTCTGGAACATTTAAAGCATTAGCTACTTCAGTAATGCATCTACTAACTGAAGCTTGACTTACAGCAGCACCTCTGTGTTCCCCTATATCTTGCTGGTAACTTCCACTTGCAAAAAATCTGAGAGCTGTTAATAACTAGCAAAAAAATAAAATAAAAAATATTAAATCAATTAAAAATAAATTTTAAATTTGTATGTACCTATTATTTTCTATTACTAACCTTTCTTTGAATACTTAGTCCAGCAATTGTTGACGGACTTGAAATGAAAGGACTTAACTCATCCGTTAACTTTTGTACAAGCACCTTACTTAAACGATAAGTACCAATAAACTGTTGAGTGCTAAAAAATTAAATGTATATAATGATCGATAATTTTTGGAAAGCAATTATATATTTGTTTATAACTAAATATATATATATATAAAATAAAAACTTACCAAAAGGATCTTCTTGTTTCATAACTCGTCTTACTTCATTAGTAATATTAATTTCGTTTTGAATTTCTAATTCATTAATTTGCATTATATTGTAAATCTCAAAATCGTCATCAAATGCCATGATAAATATTTAAACATTCATTCTCGTTCGCGAACTATACTCTTTTAATTATTAATTATAGATTATAGTACTAAATACGATACAAGTACGAACAATAAATTGAAAAAACTGATAAATTAGTTGATTACAGTGAAAATTGTGTGTCGAAAACAGTTTTCGACACCAAATTCACTATCGTTGTATATTGTCGAATATTCCTATCGAACTAATGATCGAAAGCGGTTTGAGAATAGTATTTTTGTTATCAATCGAAATCAAAGTTGTTTTCGATCAACTATTGATCGAAAGCGTGGTTCGATACGTTTGAGAATAGACCCCCTGGATACAAAGTGATCTTTATTATACATTTTTAAGTTTATGTAAGAAAATTATAACACATACATTACAGATTATGGTAAAGTTTTAAAATTTTGATTTACAATAACAAATTGAAAAGTCATTAAAAATTAGTCACTGTTATTTTAGTTAAACGTTTATATATTAAGAAGGAATTTTAATTTTAATTTAATTAATATAATTCTAACTACATCAATTTTACATAAAACATTAACAATAATTTAATTAAAGATGTATTTAGACTTATTTATAGGGGAGGAGGCGACTTAATTTTTTCTTTAATTCAGGCTCAATATTTTCAAGTCAAATTGTTGTTAATTTTTAAATCATGTGAATCCTTAATATTTGTGGTTTTTTTTAATCTAATGCTGGATCCACTTTGAATCGACTTCTGTGTAGTTCTTTTTTAACGTCTGTTTGTGTTTTGAAAGTTATGCTCTTGAGTTTTATTTGATTTTTTACTAAGTATGGAACCGATAAAAATCCCAATTCAGTATCCACTGCTGTGCGTAATTTGTTTCATTATAAAATGATCCACATTAAAAAAAAATGTAACGTGTATCTAACACCCCTAAATTTAATGGGGTGCTGGTAAAATTAATTCATTGGGACATTGATGTTAGTAATGAAGATCATCATTCTCAGAATACTTTTTTGTGCAATAATATAGTATGTAATAATAACAATAGCCAATAAATAAATACATGTTACATATGATTTAGATACATTTATTTATTTTATTTTTATTCATTTTAAATTACAAAACAAGAATTTCTATGCATTATTTATGTTGTTATCAGTTGTTATTTTAGCTTCATCTTGTTATCTTATCATATTAATTTTTATCAAATACTCAAAACCTTAAATTTTTAAATCGTACCATTTTTGACGGCCCACCGATGTCTTTTCGTGTTAAAGTCCTATTTGTTGACCTTGCTTTCTTTGCTTTCTTGACAGTAAACTTCTTGGTTTAAAAAAAAAATTATATTCACTTATACAATTATAATTTTATGTTAGTTTTCACAAAAGTGATCAATGTGCATATGTATCAGTTTTGTTTATGTATTATTATATGATTTTGTATAGTTAGTTTCTTTATTATTCTAATCAGTTTGATTTTTTATTCAATCACTTTTTTTATATCTTAGACTTATCTATAATGTATTCATCAAATAATACGTAAATTATTTTAATTGTTTAACATTAACAAACATCATAATGCATTCAATCAACTCCATCATACGGCAGTCAACTGGTAAGGTTAATTTTTTTTTTAAATTTATCTATTATTTGAAAGATTGTTTTTAATATCTAGGCATTCGTAACATGTCTTGTTTTATTTTACCTGAAGTCCATACAAAATTAAAGAATGTATGTCGAGAATTCTCTGAAGTTGAATTACGGCCTATAGCTGCTACACTGGACAATAAACAAATATTTCCTTCTAAACAAGTAAATAAATGCAGGTTATTTCACTAATAGATTTTCCAATTTGAAATGTTATATTTATGGAGCATGTATTTCATCATCAATTTAAAAATTAAATTATCCTTATATAACATAACCAGTATATTTTATCAACTTATTTTAGAGATTGAAATGTTGATAAATTATATTTAAATTTAACCAGTATTGCATTTTATAATTTTAATAAATTATTTTCAATTTTTTATTAAAATTACTTATATGTATATGGTATTTAGTTACATAACAATTTAGAAATGATTTAATTGTAATTAAATACTAAAATATAGGATTATTTTATAACTTAAGATTTTAATATTTTAAAATTTATTATTTACCTTATTGCAGATAAAACAATTAGCTGATTTAGGAATTATGGGATTAGTAGTTGACAAGAAATATGGTGGTTTTGGGGCAGACTCTCTTGCTATGTCAGTAGCTGTAGAAGAAATATCTAGGTTGATACCTTTGCTATTTTCTTAATAAAATATTTATTTACTAATATGTTCATTATTAGATGCTGTGGTGGAACAGGTACTATAGTTAGTATTCATAATGCTCTATATGCAGGTATAATGAACAAGATTGGCACTCCAGATCAAAAAACAAAATTTCTATCTCATTTTATAAAAAATGGAATTGTTGGGTGTTTTGCTCTTAGTGAACCAGGTAATGATTTAAGAGTTTCAGTCACAATTAATACAGCTATATTATTTCAAGGTTAGGCAGTGGTAGTGATGCTGCCAATATGTGTACAGTAGCAAAACGTAAAGGAAATAATTGGGTATTAAATGGTACAAAAGCTTGGGTAACAAATGGTATTGAAGGCGGTGCAATTATTGTGATAGCTCGTTCAGATCTCTCCAAAGGCCATAAAGGAGTATCTGCATTTATTGTTCCAACAAATAGTCCAGGTAATTTAAAATTTATAACTTTTACTAAACTCAAATTTTTACATTAACTGTTATAGTGTATTCAAAGATAAAGGAAACATGAAATATTTCCATCACATCACCTTGTATTTTATTTGGGCTTTTTTTTTATCTGTAAAAGGACTTGAATTTACATTTATTTTTGAAAAATTAAAATTTTTAACAATTTTTTCTGAGCATGCGCAGTAAAACAAATTTTTTTTAATGGCAACCTTTATTTCTTTATTTTTGAGTTCATATTTGGATTACATTAATTTTTAAAACAATTTTGACTTATAAAGTTTTGTTCTGTCTTGAAAATTGACTAATTGAGTCTTTGCGTTTATTTGTTTATTTTTTATATATGTAGTATATATTATATACCATTTATTTATAATACATTTAGGTATAATACTGTACATTTTAAAAATATCTAACTAATTTTTACCAATTTTGTCGATATATTAGGTTATATTTTTTCTTTTAACCAAATTTTTAGTTTGATTAAATACTTCACCTGACAAATTATAATAATCAATTTTGTAATTTTGATCAAAGATTGAATTGTATCCTTCATTGTTTCTTGACGAAGTACAATAGGTTTTTATATTATATATTATTTATATAATTTGTTTTAAAATTGCTATTAATTGTTTATATGACTATTTAATTTTAAATACAGATTTACCTGAGTCCTTATACAGATAAAAACTAAAATAAAATACAAGATAATGTGTTGAAAATATTTCGTGTTATATTTATCATTGAACACACTGTATTTAAAAGCGTTTGACAAAACTTTGATTCATTTAAATGGTCAAAATGTTGAGAAATTCAATTGTTGAGTAAAATACAAATAAAAATAGCTTATGCTGATTAAAAGTACACTATATTATGTAAATTATATTTATTTATTTTATGTTTTAGGACTGACAAAGGGCAAAAGAGATGATAAATTGGGTATTAGAGCGGCATCTTCTTGTAATATTATACTGGACAATGTTATTGTTCCAACTGAAAATATGTTGGGCAATGAAGGTGATGGTTTCAAAATAGCTTTATCTGGAATCGGTGAGTTGAAGGTTTAACTTGAGTTTATAATTGAAAATATTTCAATTTAACTTGTGCTATATAGATTTAGCTAGGATTGGTATAGCATCTCAAGCATTAGGCATATCCCAAGCAGCATTGGATTGTGCTATAGACTATGCCGGAAAGAGAATTGCTTTTGATAATGCTATAATTAAATTATCAGCTGTTCAAGTATAAAGTCGTTAGCTATTAATATAATTATAAAATATATAAATATTTATTTAATTTCAGCAAAGATTAGCTAAAATGGCTACACGATTGGAAGCAGCTCGACTCTTAACATGGAAAGCAGCATGGTTAAGAGATAATGATCAACCTTTCACTAAAGTAATTTCTGAAACAATAACATTTTAAAATTTAATTCTATGTATTTTTTTTTTAATTTATGTTTTTTCAGGCAGCATCAATGGCCAAATTAGAAGCATCACAGACCGCGACATTTGTTACACACAATTGTATACAGATTCTTGGGGGAGTAGGATATGTTAAAGACATGCCAGCTGAACGACATTATAGAGATGCAAGAATAACTGAAATATATGCAGGCCCAACTGATATTCAATATTTAGTTATTGCTGAAAATCTAGCAAAAGAATATGGACTTAAAACTAGATAAAACTTCAAACTATATTTTTTTCTGTAATTCTATGAATATTGGTGGTGGAGAATTTATATTTCAAGACTGTTATTTTTTAAAATTTATAAATTATTAATTATATAAAATATAACAAGTAATTTATATGCATATGTTCAAAGGGAAGAAAACTACATTTCAAAATTAAAATATCTACCTTTATTTATCATGATTTAATTTCATATAAAAACTTAGTTTTATTATACTATTACATTGTTAACGATTTTGAAAATCATACTGGTTTATACGAAGCCATAAATTTTTTTCTTCGTTCCTTGGCCTCCAACTTGTTTTGTTTTTTAATTTGAGCTTTGGCTATTAAATCTTTAATAACAAACTCTGGTAATCGTTTTCCTCTCCATCTATTTGGTAATATTGTCATATTAACAATATTTAATTTTTCTTGCACATAATTAGCAGCACTGAATTTTTCAGCTTCTTTAATCTTTAATATAAATAAATAAAAGTATTAATAAAGTTATGTAAATAAAACCATAATTTCTTTAATAACTAATGTATAAAAGACTCGTAAATTCAAATATTTTGTGTTTAAATATATCAAAAAATAATTGAGCTAAGTGAATAGGATAAAAGTAATTTAATTAAGGACTAATTTAAAGTTGTAACTTTAATAAAATGAATGCAGTACGTAAAGAAAATAATATTCTATTTAAGCTAATGAAGATATATTTTTTATTATGTGTTTTATTAATTTTTAACTATATGCTGTTGTTTATATATTAAACTTTATTAATTTAAGTTAGTTTGAATTACTAACTATAATTATCTTGTTTAGAATAATTATAGTTTTACCTGTCCCATTAATTCAGCTTGGAAAGCTTTTTCTTTCCTCATTTCTCTTTTTTGTCTGACTTTAGCCCAAATATATTTCATACGTTTTCTTAATTTTCTCAACTTGTGTTTTTTCATTTTCTTACGCCGAATAACTATAAGACGTGCTGCTTGAATTTCATTATCATTGTTAATTAGTGGATCGATCAATGTAAGTGTTATCGTTGGTCGAGGAATTCTAAAGGGAGTACAAGGACATGGCTTATCTATAATTTTTTTGGTTGATACAGTAGGCAAATTAATTGAAATTGGCAAGGTTGGTGAACCCAAAGGAGACTGATTAAGTGAACCTATAGACCGTATTGTTGGATATACTTGTCTATCAGCAACAATTTTAACTGAAAAAGACATGAAAAATATATTTATTATTTAATGATAAAGATAAAATTTAATCAGCGTATAAACCAGTTACTTACCATCAACAGAATAATTATTATTATTAATTTTTAGTAATGAAATTTGTTATTAGATTAGATGATTTTTTTTCAAATTGTATTAACAGAACAAAATGAATACTTCTTGAAAGTTCTAGAGATATAGATTATGGTTTGATTTCAATATTATAGTGAACAATTATAATTACAATAGGTACTTTGTAATTTTCAAAACGGGTAAATTTAACTATTCTTAAAAACTGCAAGAATTTAAATTGTTTTTATAATAGTTATATTTTATTAGGTTGCAATTCAATTAACCATAAAGTAATAATTAATTATTTTAAATAAGTTAATTGTGGAGACATAAAATATTTTCTAGATATTTATCTAGAACAGTATTCTTAAAGCATCAATAAAAATATAAAATAGGAATATAATGTATATGTCTTTCAATAAAAACAATTAGCATATTAGTTCACGTTAGATAAATAAATCATTGGCAAATTATTAAAAAAAAAAATTGCTATACGAATGATACAATTATATGATCAACCGTGTTGTGCATAGCAATGTTAACAAATAAATAACTCCTTGATCACTTACTATTAGCGAAACTTCGTATGACGGATCTCAAGTTGTTAAGCATTTTGATGAAGAAAACAAGAAAACTTATATATTTTTATTTACGCTAGATATTTATACCATGACATAAGACTGTAGACAGTCTTTAGCATAGAACTGAAATGCAGTCTAAATAACAGAAACCCATACGTGTAAAAAATAAAATACAAATCAGAAAACGTGATTAGGTTTTTTTTCGGTCCAGTATCAATATCGAGTAGTGAAGCCGCTAACCACGGTCATCGATACTCACGAAACTTAATGCGATATAATCATGCCGCGTTCTCGACGAATTGATAACGTTTAGTCGTTGATCAAATTTTCGTTTCTAACATTTGAAATAGTACAAATATATCGTTTACCATTGTAAATCGTCTATCAAACAACAGTATTATTGTCTACACCTAACGGTTCGCTACGGCGTTACGTCTAATTCTTGTTTGCGTTTCATATGGTCTCGTTGTGAGTTCTCGTTTTTAAGTAAGTTTCTCATCCGATCGTCGTTAACACACGCTCATAGTACCACGTTCTCTGTAAGCTTTCGGTGTTATTTTCGTTTGACCAGTACGTATTTTATAAATCAAACTACATGTACTTAAGTGCCTCTCGTTGAATCATTGTGCACGCGTAATGGATCAGCAACATAGTTTTGATGGATTCAGTCTCAGACGAATTCTGACGAATGATACGGAACGTAAAATGATCGCCGTCGAAGGAAATTTCAATGGTGGTATAGAACCAGCCGTTGTTGTTTTGGAAAAGTATGCTTTTGACGAGGCTTCTGTGTTGAATGTGTGCAACTCTGGTACGAAATTAAAGTTAAATATGGAAAACGACGTTTACAAATCATTCAGTTGTGTGCCACCATTCAATGGTAAATATTAAAATTATATGTTCAGTTACGTTTTTATTCAGCCCCAAATCGAAATATGTATCCTAATTATTATTATTGTAATTTAGAAAACATTGCTTTCAACAAGATGGACTTGATATACCCAGCGTCAGAAAAGCATATATTAAAATTTTCAAGCCAACCCATTTATCTGGTGCAAGAAACTGAAGACATTTATCAGAATATAACTCTACCTCATATCTTAAGTAACAGTTTGTCATTACAAGTAGGTTTGATTTGAAATGGTTCTAGATTCATGTAAAAAAAAAAAAAAATTATTTACATAAATGTTTATTTAGTGGGTGTACAATTGCTTGGAGTATAAATCTGAAAAAGAAAAAATCAAATATGATACTGCTTCCGAGAATCAAAAAAATGATGATAATGATGGCTTTATACTTTTGCCAGATCTTAAATGGTCTGGTAAGATTAGTGAATTGTATTTGTTAGCTATTGTTAAAAAAAGAAATATTAAATCGCTTAGAGATTTAACAGCTGATCATTTACAGTTATTAAAAAATATTTTAAATAAAGGATCGGTATGTACTTATACTATAAATATATTAATATGTTTGACATCTAATAATATATTATATTTATTTTATTTAGGCTGCTATTTTTAAATTGTATGGAGTTGAACTATCTCAATTACGCATTTATGTACATTATCAACCATCATTCTATCATTTTCATGTTCACTTTACTTATTTGATGCATAAACCTGTAGGTTGGTAATTTTCCATTCTAAAATATAATTTTTATATGTTGTAAGAACAAAAAGTTCCCGGAGTTTATTTATAAAAAAAAACTATTTTACTTATCATGAATATGATGAATAGAATTAAAAGTACATGTAATTTACTATAAGTATGTAAAAATCATTAAAACTACATTAGTTTCATGTTAATTGTTATCGAATCTACAAAAGACAGTTAACGCATTTTGTTAAAATGGCGCAATTTCAACAACGGACCAACATTAAATTTTGCTTTAAACTTAGAAAAAAGGGTTGAAAATGGACAAACAGTTAACTCTAGTTTTTATATTGAAGTTTTAAACCATTTAAAAAGTTTGATCCAGAAAAATAGGAAAATGTATGGTTTTTGCACCACGAAAATGCACTGTGTTACATCTTTTGCAGTTCAGCAATTTTTAAGAATTTATTAGAAAGATTCTCACAATTTTCCAATCCCTATATTCACTAGATATTGCATCATGCCAATTTCTGGCTTACTTCTAACTTAAAACTTGGACTCAAAGGTGAACATTTTGCGACGATTAAAGTTATTAATGCTATTGTGATGGCTAATCTCATGGTCATACCAATAGAAGGATATCAAAGATATTTTGAATAGTTTTAAATTTGTTAGAGTAAGTGTGTCTGTTCCCAAAGACAATATTTTGAAGGAGATTTAGTTAATTTTAGTTTAAATTGTATACATGAAAAAATCAATTAAAATTCCAGGAATTTTTTTATTATACACATAAAATATAATTTAGGGTTTACCTTAGTTTTAGTTCATTGTCCCTTAGTAATACATTTTTAACTTATTGTTACAGTTTTTACTATTAGTAAAATCACATATTTATATTTTATTCAATGCATTTGACTGAGTTTATGATAAATTATTACTATTATTTAAAGAAATGTAATATATAAAATATTGATAATAGTGATATAAAATTATAATTTCCTTTATTTTCTTTAATACAAACATTGCAATTTTTAATTTATATAAGTTTTTTTGTGTATAAAGTAATTTTATTAGTACTTTCTAATTAGATTATAAATTAATGCTATTGAAAAAAAAAAAAATGATTTAACATTTTTATAAGTTTCAATACATTTATTATTATTTGTTAGAGGAGCTTCCTAATTATTTGAATTTATCATTTTATATATATACAAATATCATAATTTAAAATTAATTAATATTTTTAGGAATCAATGTAGAAAAAGCACATTTACTAACAACAATAATCAACAATATTGAGATGCAAGGAAACTATTATCAAAAGGCCATGTTGAATTATACTATTAAAGAAAGTGATCCTTTGTTTAATTGTTTTGTAGAGAGAGGTAATTACACATATATTTACTTATTTTATATTTATATTGATGGTTCAATTACAATTTTTAATTCTTCCATGTTTCTGCATCAAGAATGAGGTTATTTTTATTGATTTATTTTATTAAATACTTAATGAAATAACAACATTCATTCAAACATTTAAATCATATAAAAACAAGAAAAAAAAATCCCTTGGCTATCCAGTTTTTATTATTTTACAGCTTCACTACTTTTTCTAACTCATATTTCAAATTTCTATGAATTGAGTACTATGAAAATCATAATATGATTTACAATATTTATTCAATATTATTGTGTTTGTTATAGTTGGAGTTATTATTTTTTATTTAGAATAAGTTATGATTAATATAATGTTAAATTCAAGTATACCATTTTAAATATATTTTCTTAAACAAGCTAACTCAACAATGTGTGTACTTATTTTTCTATTGCTCAGTAAACATCTATATAAAAATGAAACTTTCATTTACTTGTTTGCATTATACACACCAATACAGTGGTGGATCTACGGGGGTGGATATGGGGGATAGATCCTCCCCATGGGCAAAGAGTTAAAAAACATTTTTTTGCAACCAATTCAAATTTTGCATCTACAATTTAAATAAAAACTATTCTTTTATTATTTCGTTTTCATTATTTTGTATCCAAGAAGGATAAACTAGTATACATTAGTATCTAACTTCATATCAGATTACATATATACACCTTGTATTTATAACATGACCTGGAATACAGACATAGAGTAATGGCACAGTCATCAAGAAAATTAAATTTTGTTTTGTAAATTTAGTAGAATAAAGCTTATTATACCTATACATATTATGTACAAAATATTTTATATCCCCCCCATGATAAAATCCTAGATCCGCCACTGCATCAATGCATGCATATTAAGATTTATGTTGTTTTGTTATTTAGAGTTTTTTAAACCCTTAAAAACATTTATTTAAAAAATATATCTTTTACAATGCTAATTTATAAAATTATGTTTTTATGCCTAGGTATTCTTCGTAAAGCTAAACCACTTGATGAAACAAATAATTTATAAGCACTTATTGATTGTGATACAACAATTTAATTTATACTTGTAAGTATATAATACTATTTTTTCTATTATAACATATAATGTATTATTATTACTTGGCTGGTTGGGTTATTATTGTATCCTTTTATGTACTTTTTTTTTTTGTATATATATTTGGTAAAAACTAAAATTATAGATTTGAAATGTTTTACTTGAATTGGTAATAAGTATTGAGTTGAAAGTTCTATAAATTAAATATTGACTTTTCACTTAATATAAATCATAAAGTGTTTTAGTTTTTGAACATTACGTGGTATTATTTTAATTGGTTATTTTTTCTCCTAGATGTTTAAAATTTTAAATACATATATGATTGTTAAAACCATGTTAAAAGTATTTAGTAATTTGATAAAAAGCGTTTTTAAGGCGAGGGATCATATAAAACTCCTATAAAAATGGTCAGATTAAAAGTACTCATATTTAATTTACTATTTCTATACATCTAAATTCTTATAAATAATGAAAGATAAATGGTTCTGAAAAAATATTTTTTTCTTTCTAGATTTGAATCATTATTTTATTATAATGGACCATAGCTTAATATTAGAATATAGTCATAAATATATTTTTACCATGATATAAAATTTGTTACAAATCCAGTAAATATTCTATTTCATCAATTACCTATTAATTAAATTGAAGTGAGTTACATTAAAAATAAAAATAAATATTATTGTTCTTACTTTGATAATAAAGTAATAAAATATTGCTAAATTGAATATTCTCCAATATATTAACTATTTACATTTCAGTTTTGATAAACTATTCTAATAATTATTTAATTTAAAAACACCAAAATAAATTATTTATATTTATTATAATTATATATTAATATTTATATTTAAATTCAATTATCATACTCCAGCAGTAATTTTTACCATTGATTTTAGATTATATTATATTCAAAAAATAATATTTTAATAAAAGCTTTTTAATTTGTATATAATGAGTATTAATTTATTTTTTTTAAATTGTGCTCATGATTATTTACTCTTGACTAATACCAAACACATCTTAAATTATATTTCAAATGCATTTTTATAAACATTTTTTGGATTATGAATAAGTGAAAGATAACATTTAAATAGTTAAATTGTATAATAGATAAATCAATATTTTGTTTTTAATGTAATTTTTTTAAATGATTTTAAAACAATATTTGAGTTTATTGGTAGTATTACCTATAAAATAAATAAAATATGATTAAATTATTATTATAGAATTTTCAGATTTCTCATTCTCTTTATTTGCAAAAGTTGATTTATTTGAACCATTTTTATTTAATGCTTGAACCAACTATATAGTTACTAATTAAGATGAATTATAATATATTTCAAGTGTAATAAATAAAGAGCGGATTTTTAGTATATTAAAATCTTAAAATATGATGCTTATATGCTCTAAAATAAACCTAAAATAATCTCTAAAAGACCTTGTAAATATGCGATATTACGACTTTATTTTCTTTAATAGTTTAATAAAAAAATTAAATTACTGTTATGGGCCATTCCTTTAGTAAAAGGTAAATTATTTAAATATAAAAATTTAAAACAGTTCATACATAGGAATATAATAATAATACAATTATATATAAAAAACAAAGTAGTTAAATAAAAACAATGAACAATTTGTATGCACCATTCCTTGGTAAAAGAAAAATTATTTAAAGGAAAAAACGGATAACAGTTCTATACATAGTAATATAAATATAACAATCAAATTTTTTTTTCTATAAAAATCACAACTCAAAAAATTAATAAAATATGCTTTTTTATGAACAATAATTGAATATATTCAAAAATATGAAAAATAAACTAAATATTCTCTAATGTTCAAAATATGCTAAAATATGTGAAATAAATGTTTTTATATGAACTCTATGATGGATAAATACTTCACATTTTTCATCCTCATAAATCTGCATAAAGTTAATAAAAATATGTAAAAACCTAAAGATCCGCTCTCTAGTAATAAATTATACTTTGTATTTGTGTTTCTTAACTTTTGTATGATGACACTTGGACTTATTATGTCCATTGATTATATCAATGTGTCTCGAGATAGTCGTTGAGAAACACTGTTATGTACTAACAGTATTGTATTCTATTACTTATCAATTACCAATCATATAATATTACAACTATACGTACTTACAGTTTTGGAATAAATTAAAAAAAAATAATAGTTGCAGAGTCAAATATGTATCAAACCAAAATTTAGTTGTACATTAACTACAGCAAATATTTATATAAGCCTCCCTAATAATAACTACTATTTAGCTTAATGATACCTTCTATAATTTAATATAAAATCAATTGAATATTTTTATGGAGTTTGTAAGTGTAAAAAGATTTGACTTTCATTCCTTGGAATTAATTTATAATAAATTGCAACTTTAGTAAACCTTTTTTTCTGTATTTTCTATTAATATGTATGTAATCCTTTAATTTTGTTCTCATTCATAATTTATAAGTTTATATCCATTTGTATGGCAAGTTTATACAGCTGAATTACAGGATTGTTTTTTATTATTGGTATATTATTATTGTCAGGGGTGGCAAACTTTTATTGACCACTGATCGACTTGTGAGTTTTTCTAGGTTGTATTTAAAGAAAATATAAAATTTTGTTCACTAATTAAAAATATATTGTATGTCAATGTATGTTACACTTCAATTTAAAATATTAATAAGTAATAATAACTTTAATTTTACAATTTTACATAACATGTATTTTAATATATTTTTTAATCAACTCAACAAATGCAATAAAGACCCTTATTTAATACAAATTATACATTAGATTACATACAATATACCTTTATAGCTACTCAATCTCGGTGTATAATTGCATTTTTCATAGTTCAATTATTACTTTACTGCCTTTATTAATTGTTATTAATGTAATTTTTATATTTGTAAGTTGAAAAAAGACAAAAATTCACATAAAAAAATAAATATTTTATTTGTTTTCTAAAAAAAATGAAGATAAAAATAAAAGGGAATTGCGATCAACTCATGTTCATTTCACGATTGATTTTTTGGCCACCCCTGGTGTAGGCTACTGCATTAGATTCTTGTATTTAAAACACCATTAGGTATTAATTTATTATATTTTCACTTATTTATATCAGTGATATTTTATGTTAAAATGAATTTCATATGGTAATTTAATATATATACATACATATATATATATATATAAATAATAAGACATAAAAAAATGATTGGAGTTTTACAAAAAATTGGTATAGATGGAAAAGATATACTGTTCATAAAAATTTATATTGACATCAACAAGCTAATATTAGAATAAATAACATACTCTCTAATGATAAGAAATTGAAGAGGAGTTTGACAAGAATTTATACTCTCACCAGTATTTTTTAATTCAGTATATTCAAAAAATAATGCCAGAGGTGTCTTAAAAGATGCGGAGAAAGGTATTATAAATGAAAAGGTTATTAACAATCTTAGATATGCAGGTGGTAATTTTTGATAACTAGCAGCATAGAAAATATACAGAAGATAATGAATAAAGTAGTAACAGTTAATGAAAACCTAGGACTAAATTTAAATACCCAAAAAACTAAATATATGGTAATTGATAAGGAACAAAGTCCAAAAAATGTGCTCAGATTCAACAATACCCTTTTAGAAAAAGTACATAAAATAACTTATATAGGAGAATTAATAATAAATAACTGGGATCATTTTCACAAAATGAAATACCATATAGAAAAAGCAAAAGCGGCTTCTGTAAAAATAAAAAATGTATTCTTCAGTCATCAGTTAAGTACGAACCTCTGAATCAGAATGTTTCGTTGTTATGTATTTACTGTACTTCTTTATGAAGTAGAAACATGGACTCTCTCAACCAAATTCAAGCATTCGAGATTTTAATATACTGCAGAATATTAAAAATTAGTTGGTTGTGATCACATAATGAATATTAATGTACTACAACGAATTAATAAAGATATTGAATTAGTAAAAAAATAAAATTGTGAAAACTTCAATGTCTAGGACATATTATGTGACGCCCAGAAAAATATAGTCTACTACAATTAATAATTCAGAGTAAAGTAGTTGGAAATAGGGGTTGTGGAAGATCTTAAATTTCTTGGTTGAACAACCCCAAAAAGTGGTTTAATACATCTATATCTCTAATAAGGACAACCATTAATAAAGATTAAATTGCTAACATGATTGCCAACATTTGTTAATCAATACGGAAATGAATAGCACTCTAAGAAGAATATTATTTAATAATAATAATAATAATTAAATAATATATACAATCATGTGTCTTATATACCATGCCTTTTTGGATTCATTAAAGTATTGACATTTGACATTGTTCATATTTATGGATTCATATTATAAACTACATTTTTCATTTCAAATTCATATCAAATAATATTCTATGTATTATGTATTGAAATTGAGTTTTATTGAAAAAATAGATTTTAAATTATTTGTTTGACAATATAGTATCTGTTGATGAGTAGATTATTGACATTTTTATAGTCAATTTTCAATTGACTATCAGTACTAATTTTAACTTCATATTAAAATTTCAATTCAATAATTGTTGTACAATTGTAGGTAAACAAGGATTTGAATCAATTATTTTTATTAAACAATCCAAAATATCAGTTTAAATTATATAAAATTCTAGAAAAGAAACCACAAATTTTGTTTGACTGGGCTCCATACTTATTCACGAAGGCCAATTACTGTGGATGTAGCTTGTTTTCATATTCAGAATAAAAATACATTATTATCGTGCTTTGTTAAGTACTTAACTACTCTCTAAAACTACTTTTAAAATTATATTTAAGTAAAATATATCCTAACAATTACAAAAATAGTTTTTTTTAATAAATTTTGATTTTTACATTTGAAATGCAGAAAATAAATAATTTAAATGGGAATAACATGCATAATATAATGAAGCATTAATTACTATAAGTAACGCTTATCTAAATATTACATGAAAAAAGGTATTTAAATACATACATTTAGGAATAACAGTAAAGGTAATTTTTAGTGAAATAATATTAATTGTTTATTTTTTAATTTTATCATAACATTAATTTTAATTATTTATATCTTATAATTTCTTTTGAAAATTTTAGGGTTTGCTGTTCCAGACAATTTTATTTTAGTTAATAGTTGTAATTTAATTATTTCATTTTATTGTAATTATTAATAATATAAGAAAATAGTCTTTATTTTAAAATGTAGATAACTGCAAGCAAAAAAAACTTTAGTAGAATTCTAGATATTTCTGTATTTTCGCTATGGCTCTATAGCTTCCTTTTATCCAGTATAGACATGACATAGCAGTTTTGAATACTATATTATTTTATATTTACTTTGACTTGTAATTGGTAATTTTCTTTATAATGTTTGAACAAAAATATATTCAAAGAATTTATTTTCTATGACATATTCCAAACAATTTGTAAATAATATGAATTATAACACCAAATTTCAATTGTTACATTTTAAATTATAAGAATACTGTTAATTACATTTTGAAACATTTATTTTAAAAATATACTTTTTATAAATTTAATAAATATGTAAAATGATAGTAATTTTGAAGAAATTTATTTTATATAAACATTTAAAGTTTAAATAAGTACATGGTATAATCATTATAATATGATTTTTATAGTAATTAACATTTTAAAACTAATAAAATTAAATAAATAATACCAGCTTTCATGAATATATTATATGATAGGTACTAAAAATTATAATGAAATAATAAATACCTAGATGAATTTATTTTATATTTTCACCAATAACAAAATTTATTAAAGATTTTTATCAAAAACTGTATTTCTTTATTGCTAATTTTTATAAATCATTATTATGATATATATCATAAATCTTATTTTATTTGAATAATTTATCTAATTTAGTTATTACATTTTATTAAAACTCATCTTTATATATATATATATATATATATATATATATATATATATATATATAT